CACTTGAAGTGATGTTCAATGCAACTCATTTTCTTCAGAGCCTCCCTTTTGGGACTGCCTCTTGGTGTGCTGTGTGGGTAGGGGCATGTGGGCAGAATCGGAATCTGAGAATTCCGAAGGACCAAGCGAGTAGGCGCTACGAAGGTAGACAGGTATAATGAGGCAGATGATGCGATTTTTGAGTCGACTAAAAAAAGGTAGACAGGTATAATGAGGCGGATGATAATGAGGATGAAGTGGGAGCAAGTGGTGCCTTACGCGTGGTAGACGTGAGGCAGTTCCAACTCGCACAGAGCTTCACGCACCAGCTTGCAGAAGGGAGAGGGCTGCAAGGATGGAAGAGGGGACAGGTAGTGGGGCACAGGGGAAGGCGCACATGTGTGGTGAAGGAGCAAGCAGGTCAGGTACCTCATTCATGTGTGGTAGACGTGGAAATGGGTCCAGTTCACAGAGGACTGTGCACACCACAGCACAGAAGTCAGAGCACACGTAGACTGAACCATCAGAGACTGATCGGATCAGGCCAATCACTTACAGAAATGCCCCTCGCTTACAACACAGCTCATAAGCAATCACTCTAGTGGCTGGGGCGTTATCGTTGCCGGTAGATAGCACAGCAATCAGAGCACACCCACCTAGTGTGTACAATCCAAATACTAATTTCACACTAATGCCCCATGCTCATAACGCACCTCATACGCCCACACTTCCAGTGGCTGGGGCGGCATCTTTGCTGGCACATAGCACAGCAATCAGAGCGCACCCACCTAGTGTGTGCAATCCAGAACTAGTCACACACTCATGCACCACAATTATCAGGGGACACCAATCACACACAAGAAATGCCTCATGCTTACAACGCACCTCGTACGCCCACACTTCCAGTGGCTGGGGCGGCATCTTTGCTGGCACATAGCACAGCAGTCAGTCTGCCGACACATAGCACAGCAGTCAGAACACATTCACCACGTGTGAACGCTCACATCCTCCCTGCCCTCGACTCATCTGCCCTCCCAGGCCTTAACACAAACCCTAGTGCTCCCCCCCTCCAACGCACCTCATACGCCCACACTTCCAGTGGCTGGGGTGGCATCTTTGCTGGCACATAGCGGCTTCCCTGCACAGTAGAGTGGAAGGCAGGCGGATACAGAAGAGTTAGATGGGGATGGTTGTGGCGGTATCTGGTAGGAGTTCACTCATAGAATGGCTAATCTGACGGCTAATTGGGACTTGGTAAGGTCATAGGATGGCTACTTTCGAAAGAGGATGTTGCAAGAGCTGAGCCATTGAGAGAGGCATGCAAGCATGCCTGATCAGATAAATCAATTCTCGGGTCAATTACAGAGCAACTGGAGAAGGAAAGAGAAAATATTTGGAAGATTATTATGTCGGAAATGATATGAATCTAGAAGGCTCGTGAATCATGACGGGAATGTGAAGCACGCACCTTCATCGCACGGCCGATGCCTGCTAGGCCTGCAGTGATGGACTGGAAAGGTGGGTGGGAAAGGGATGGGTTGAGAAAGGGGGGGAGTGAGAATGGGGTTGAGAATGGGGGTAGAAAATGTTGAAATGTATTTGTATACATTCATATAAATGCCTACAGTAGCCTAGTGTAGTTATCTTAGTTTCCTGCTAGGTGGTGTACCATTTGCCTAATTCCTTGCCTATATCTTGTATGCCCTCTACTATTGAACCCCTCTTTTGGCATGCATCTTCCCTCGCCACTTTCCTTCTCGTCACTCTCGCCTAGGTCAAACCCTAGGCCCCTAATCTTCATTCTCGACATGGTACAGAGCATGTAATATCCTGGCCTACTGTTTTTAATTTCTCCATGGGCCCACCGCATATTCCTTGTTTCATGGCGGCCGTCGCGCCTTTAGTTGCGACTGACGTGACGGGCGCGACGGCAAGTTTTTTGCTGTCATGGCGACGAGCTGGGCGGCTTGTACTGCCCCGTTGCTCCTTCGCCCTGTCACCCGCCCAGCGCTACCCGCCCCGTCCCGACCTGCCCCACCCTGTTCTGTCACGACCACAGCAGCAGCCGCGCACAGTTGCGTACGGGCGCGCATTGCTGCGCGCAGCTGTGTACGACCGTGCGCATTTGCGCACGGCAGTGTGCGCCAGCACCAGCGCCCGTCGCCAGCACCTGCGTGAGCAGCAGCTGACACCGCCCCCCCCTTCCCTTCCGCAGCTTTTGCCGTGGGGGGAGGGAGATGTGGGGGGTGGCAGGTGTGAGTTGCCTGCAGGCCGTCCTACCCCTCCCTTCAGCGGGATTCGCCGTGAAGGGGGGGGAGAGGTTGCGGGGGGAGGGTGAAGGGAAACGGGGGGAGTGTGAGAGGGTGGCGAGAGAGACTCTGCAAAGCCAGCAGCCACCCCTCCTCTCTCTCTCACTGCCGCTTGTGCTGCTGTGGGGGGGAGGGTAAGAGAGGGTGGTGGGAAAACAGTCAAGCATCTGCAGCTGCCACCCGCTGCTACCGTGGCACCTCCTGCTGCCGCCCCTGCCGCCACCTGCCCTTGTTTCTGCTGTCTGCTGCTGGGGCCTGCAGGTGCTGCCGTCGAGCCGTTGCTGACCTGCTGCATGTTGCAGCCACAGAGCCTGCTCCTCAAGCGACCTGCCACCCCTACACCTTCTACTGCTTTTGTCTTGGCTGAGAGCGTGCTATAGCTGTATTTGCCACTCCTGCACCGGCTACTACTGCTCTTGCTTGCTTCTGTTTCTTCCACTGCACCTGGTGTACCCCTGCAGACTTTGTGCTACACACAGGTTTCCACTGTATGCATTTAGGGTGTGTGTTGAAATGTATTTGTATACATTCATATAAATGCCTACAGTAGCCTAGTGTAGTTATCTTAGTTTCCTGCTAGGTGGTGTACCATTTGCCTAATTCCTTGCCTATATCTTGTATGCCCTCTACTATTGAACCCCTCTTTTGGCATGCATCTTCCCTCGCCACTTTCCTTCTCGTCACTCTCGCCTAGGTCAAACCCTAGGCCCCTAATCTTCATTCTCGACAGAAAAATGGGTGAGAAAGGGATGGAGAGTGCAGAAACAAGGCAAAGCATGCCTAGTTTGCGTACCATGCATTGTAATGCACTAAAGTTAGTGCAGTCAATGAAACACAATGTTAGAACAGCACCATTGTTAGAGAATAATCACTGAGTCAATGACATTCAGTGTGTTCGGCTCCACCTGTGTTTGAGGTCCGGTGTTAGAGGTTCTGTGTGTAATGTTATGTGTTTCACACATTCGTGGTACGCATAATCAGCCACTCACGGTGATGGGGCCGAGTTGAAGCATGAGAGGGATGGAACCATTGCCTGCAGAATGAGTGAGGTGGTAGTGGGGTTGCGGGGCGGGGGAAGAGGGGGCAAATTGAACGTTACAGACGGGGTTGTTACCTTCCTCAACAAATGAAAAAACAGTTGAAATCCCTAACAAGAAGAAGTGACCACTCCTAGAGATGAGATGCCACAGGGGGGTGCACTCGTAGTTTTGAGTCGAATCAATTGCTGCTCGTGGTTAACAATTCCCAGAGATAAGAAGCCTGTTATCAGGAATGCTCCTACTCAGCTACAATTCACATACCGTAAGTTCTGGCAAGGTACTTGATGATTTCATCTGACTCGTACATGCTCACTCCCGTGTTGGGGTCCACCTGCAATGGGTGCATGTGGGGAGATTGGTGTGAGAAGCGAGTACAAGGAGTCAAGAGGAAAGAGAAGGAACAGACTATTTCCAGGAACAGAGACCCAAGGTTTCAAAAGGGAGCCAACCAAAGCACATCACGTGTATGACATCCTCTACCTTAGCATCCAAACTCATAGCGAAGAAAGGCAGCAGTATCGTTGAAAGCTTAAGCAGCAGGATCGACAATGAAAAAACAAGTGAAAAAAGTAGATCTAGAGAAAACGCCTTGAAGAATGTATGACACCCTCTACCTTATAATACAAATCAGTCGGAAGGCAAATGTTATGAGACTTTTGAGACGTCTCAAAACCTAGTTTTGAGACGTCTCAAAACCAAAGCACATCACGTGTAGGACATCTTCTACCTTGTAATACAAATCACTCGGAATCCAAAGGCCGGAAGAATACAGAGTGCGATAATCAGATGTGTGACGTACCATGTAGGGGAACTGCCTCTTGCCGCCCATCTCTATGGCCTTGGGTCGGTACGTAGGGCCATTGACGGGGCACGGGTAGAAGAGCACGTCAAGGTCCAGCACTGATACCATCTCACGGACCTGGTGGGCAGGGAGGGGTAAGGGACGCGATGAGATTACATTACAAAATGGCCTTGGGCCCAACTGACAGGGCACGGATAGAAGAGCACGTCAAGGTCCAGCACTGATACCATCTCACGGACCTGGTGGGCAGGGAGGGGTAAGGGACGCGATGAGATTACATTACAAAATGGCCTTGGGCCCAACTGACAGGGCACGGATAGAAGAGCACGTCAAGGTCCAGCACTGATACCATCTCACGGACCTGGTGGGCAGGGAGGGGTAAGGGACGCGATGAGATTACATTACAAAATGGCCTTGGGCCCAACTGACAGGGCACGGATAGAAGAGCACGTCAAGGTCCAGCACTGATACCATCTCACGGACCTGGTGGGCAGGGAGGGGTAAGGGACGCGATGAGATTACATTACAAAATGGCCTTGGGCCCAACTGACAGGGCACGGATAGAAGAGCACGTCAAGGTCCAGCACTGATACCATCTCACGCACCTGGTGGGCAGGGAGGGGTAAGGGACGCGATGAGATTACATTACAAAATGGCCTTGGGCCCAACTGACAGGGCACGGATAGAAGAGCACGTCAAGGTCCAGCACTGATACCATCTCACGCACCTGGTGGGCAGGGAGGGGTAAGGGACGCGATGAGATTACATTACAAAATGGCCTTGGGCCCAACTGACAGGGCACGGATAGAAGAGCACGTCAAGGTCCAGCACTGATACCATCTCACGCACCTGGTGGGCAGGGGAAAGGAAATGAAGAAACGGAGGAGATGGAGATGGGGATGGGGCCATACGTGGCTTTGGGTCTGTACGCGGGCCTATTGATACGACAGGAGTTGAAGAGCACGTTTAGATCCAACATACACCATCTCACGGACCTGGTGGGAAGGGAGAGAAAAGGAAGGGAAGCAATGAGACAACAAAATAGCGTTAGGTTGGCGCATGGGGCATTGACGGGGCACTGGTGGAAGAGCACGTCTAGATCCAGCACTCATACCATTTCACGGACCTGCAAGTATAGGACAGCGGACAGGGGAAAGGGTAGAAGGCATGCAAAGCAAGGGCGTGGGGCCATTGACGGGGCACTGGTGGAAGAGCACGTCTAGATCCAGCACTGCTACCATTTCACGGACCTGGAGGGCAAGGAGGGGTAAGGGACGCGAGGAGATTACAGAATAGCCTTGGGCCCAACTGACAGGGCACGGATAGAAGAGAATGTTTAGGTCCCGCACTGATGCCATCTCATGGACCTGGCGGGTTAGGGAGTTAGGGGGGGTGGGGGCCAGGTGGGCGCTACGAAAGGGTTTTGAGACGCGTCTAAATTTGAGGATTCGGGACGTCTGAAAGCAAAAAGAGGGGTGCAGGGGGCAGGCAGCAAGAATGAACAGACACAAGCGTGGGAGACAGGCACAAAGGTGGGGGGAAGGCATGGGCAGGCGTGTGCAGGCATGAACAGGCATAGACAGGCATAGGCAGGGGCAGGGTAGGTGGTAGTGGGAGTGTACCTTGCGGCAGAACGGACAGCTGCAGGCGTGGAAAAGAAGGAGAGCGAGGATGAGCGGCGCCGTTGACGCAAATGAGACGACAATGCATGGACCCAAGGAGCCAAGAGAGCGAGCAGCATAACAGTGGAACATGTCGATAACCGGAAAAGGGGGGGGGGGGGGGGGGGAGGGAAGGCGGGGAGAAGTGTTGTTTCAGAGACATGAAAGGAAGGCATAAGCGTGAGAGGGTCGGGTCAACTATAACTATGGAAGGATAGACTTCAACTTGGATCAAGAACCTACAAAACGTGCTTGCAGCGTTCCCCATGTATCAGTGGATGTTTCCTTTCCAGGTAAACAATCAGCCCTGTCCCTCCCGAAAATGCCCATTCCGCTTCTGCTGACCACGTGCACCAGCATGCAACCTCCAAAACCACCACCTCTCTCCCTCCAAATCCTTAAGAGCCTGACACGCAAAACAGTCAACAACCACCCCAAATTCATGCAGCCAGCAAACACAGCGCGCACAATAGCTCCCCGCAGGGCGTGTTATAAATTCTTTAGGACCTGACGCGCGACCACACTTCCTGCAATGTGCCCTCACCCTTCAAACTCGTAGATCTCGATGGGCTGGATCGCTGGCTTGAGCTCGCCCGTGGTGGTTTCCACCAGTTTGTACCCTGCAGTGGACGAGTGTGAGGCAATGAGGGTGCTATTTCAACCACTTCAACACTATTGAATAGAACACCAGCCCCAGCTTGTAACCGGCAGTGCAGGAGCAGACTCATGGAGCGGCACAGTGCTACTGTCCAAACAATTAGCACGAGATTGTGATTGTCTAAATCATGGCTTGTGATTGTGATTGTGATTGTGATTGTGATTGTGATTGTGATTATGATTGTGAATGTCCAGTCGCTCTCCTCTCGCCATGGAAAGTGAAGCCATGTCTGGAGTCTCGTCGTTAGTTGTTGTTTGTCACTCTACTCACCCATGGCTGACCGGTCTTAGCACATGGTGCTCGTTCGTCGTTCACCACACACCAGTTCTAAGTCACAGCAGATAATGACTGCAGCTGGGATTGGAGTCGACTCAAGTCAGGTCCAGTGCGGCGGTGAAACGAGGAGGGAAAGCTCCGAAAGGGAACAGTTCTGAGACATGCCAAATCTCTTGAAGGGAGTTCAGTGAGGGATATCTGTACAAGCCTGACTCACCCATGAGTGGTCCCAGAGCATACGGCTCGTCATTCACTGCAGACAAGTTCTGCACGAGTTCACCCATGACTGCAGGTGTGGTTAAAGTCGACTCAAACCAGCATCCGAAAATTCACATTCAAGAGGGGTTGGTCCAGTGAGGCGGTGTCACGAGGAGGGAAAGCTCCGAAGGGGTCAAGTTATGAGACGTGGCATATTTATCCAGAGTCTACTCACCCATGACTGGCCCCAGTGCATAATCCTCGTCCTTCACTGCAGACGAGGACTCCACCTTGGCCTTGTACCTGCAGCATGCGGAATTTGAAAAGAGGGAGAAGGGGTGGGAGCGGGAAGTGTAAACATATGATTCCACCTTGCCTTGTACGTGCTTAGGTGTCGTCCTTTACTGCAGACGAGGACTCCACCTTAGCCTTGTACCTGCAGCACGCGGACATTGAAAACGAGGGAGAAAGAAGACGAGCGAGAAGAGGAAATAAAAACGCATAAGACTTTTTGAACGCAGTTTTGAGGCGTCTCGAAACGTCCGAGAATTCTTCAAAAGTGGTTTTGGAAAAACGAAAAGATAAGCTCCATCTGCTCCTTGAAACTGCAGCACGCAGCCATGCTAAATATGGAAAATACATCGTCAATGCTACGGAGGAAAAACGAAGGATTCCTAAGAAATGTCTCCAGCCTTACCCCTCACTGAACACGCCCGTGCCAAGGCGGAAAAGGATCGGCAACGATGCGCCAATTACGGCTCCCAGCTGCCCGCTTGCCACGGAAAATGGCTTAGGCTCGGGCGGCGCAAAGTTTTCAGGTGCCCGGATGTCGTTAGATGACGACGCTGCCGCCTACGAGAGAGGAAGTTAAGGATGGCAGGTATGTTGGGAACGCTTTATTGCGATTCACTGCATTCGTTGCTGCTCTGACGAAAACAGCGCATGCATCGGTACCAAAAACAAAAAAGAAAACCAGTAACATAAATGCACAATATCGTGGATGAGTACAACCTAGTGAAAAAAAAAAAAAGGTTAAGATTCGAAGCTAGACGGTGCTTACCTGTGAGCTCGAAGGCTGGTCACCGCCTCCCATCTCGGCACGAACAACTTGTCGGAGCCCCCTGCTACTCCCCGCTACGCTAGCAGCACTCTTCGTCTGCAAGCTATTTCCGGAAACGCCAGAAAGCGATGCAAGGCTGGAGGAAGGGAGCCGTGTCGCGGCAGAAGAAAGAGCTGCCATGAAGGTGCACAACGTAGTCAGGGGAACTAGAGTGCACAGCGGGGAGGGACGGGATTCAGGAGCCTCGAGATTGCCGAGACTTGCTTCTGAGAGAGCAGCTGAAGATTTCTGATGCTTTTGTGAAACCAATTTCTGTTTCAAGAATTGACCAGCAGCTCATGAGGAATTCCACCTTCTCATAACAACTTGCGAAGCCTCTCGCAAACTCGTCGGGGAGAGCGATTGGTCTGCGAAGGTGTTACGGATCTTGACGACTGTATGCGTGGTGGTGAGTGAACAAGTTGGTCCACGTGGGAAATCTTCTGCTCGCCACGTCGTCCATCCACGATTCCAGGAGAAGTGCGTGCGCTCAATACTCCCCACCGTAGTGAGAAGTACTTGTAGTACACTCAATACTCCCCACCGTTTTCTTCATTATTTCCCAAAACTCGTAAGCAACAGAACATCCATGCATGTTCTAGAAGAGTTATAAAAGCACATAGCTCAAAGTGCTGTTGCAACAATGTACTCGTTGCCTAACTCGAAAAAAACTGACTAGGCTCACTTCGTGCGTTTTTTGACTGATTTAGTCTGGAGTGCCTTGCAAAAAACATCGACACATTCATATAATATTTGTCTCGGTCTGCAGCATCTGTTAGGATAGAATGAAGCTGACTTAAGATAGTTTTTTACAAATCCTTTCGGTGCGGATATGCCTGCAAACAACGATACACAACATCGAAACATAACAATTCACATAAAACAAGAGCACAGGGAGGAAAGGGTGAATAACCACACTGACAAAACACCAACCTTGCTTACCCATTACTTCATCCAATTTTACCCAAGTTCGGCTCATGTTCACTGAGTTCTACCGCACGTTGTTCCCACTCACCGCGCTGCCGCCACCGTTGCCAAACTCCTCCCCAGCGCCCGGCACCACGAGTGCATCGAGCACCTCCACCACTGCTGCGGCAGTGGGCCAAACCTCGGGGTCCGGTAGCAGGCAGCGCGAGGCGAGCTTCAAGCCTCCCATACTCACTCATTTCTCACTCCTATCCTACTCACACCATGCTCAGATCTCACCCGTTCTTACTGCACGTCATGCCTGCTTCTCCCATCCGTCTACCTACTCACCCCACTGCCACCACCGTTGCCAAACTCCTCCCCAGCGCCCGGCACCACGAGTGCATCGAGCACCTCCACCACCGCCGCGGCAGTGGGCCGAACCTCGGGGTCGGGCAGCAGGCAGCGTCCGGCGAGCTTGACCATCTCCACCAGGGCTGGCAGGGCGAAGCTCCCCTGCAGCTTCGGATCCACCATGGCCTCCACCTTAGCCCGGTCCATCAGCTTCGGCTTCGCCTGGCGGAGAGGAGAGTAGGAGGGAAGGGAATGGCAGAAGCAGGAATGAGTGAGTGAGTAAGCGAGCTCCCCTGCAGCCTCAGATCCACCATGGCCTCCACCTTAGCCCGGTCTATCAGCTTCGGCTTTGCCTGGGGGGGAGAAGAGAGGGAGGGTAGAAAATGGCAGGTGCAGGGGTGAGGGAAACCCTTAAAGGCGAGGCCTGAACTGAATCTGGCAGTGTGCACAGCGCGCCGCGCTCTCTCACAGGTGCACAGCCCTCATGAGGGACTCGGATGAGAGGATTTGATGCACAAACCTTAAGAAACCACAAGATGTCATGAAAAACAACGGGATAAAAACATGTGATGGATAACAACCCCATGGCCTGTACCTGCTCAGGAGCCTGACACTCACACAGCGCGCAAGAGTGACTGCTTCGTGGGCGGCAGGGGGGGGGGTCGAGCGGTCTCCTGCCATTGATGAGCTCGACAGCACAGGTGGTGCTTCAAATCACTCACCCAGCGCACGAGGGACTGCTCTGTGGGCAGCAAAGAAGGGTCGATCGGCCTTCTCCCAGTGACGAGCTCGAGCAGCAGCATGCCCATGGCGTACATGTCAGTGCGGCCTCTCTGCCTGCGAGGCCAACACGTGGTTCTTCATCAAAACACTCACCCAGCGCACGAGAGATTGCTCGGTAGGTGGAAGGGAGGGGTCAAGCGGCCTCCTCCCGGTGACGAGCTCGAGCAGCAGCACGCCCATGGCGTACATGTCAGTGCGCGCCGTGCTCTCATGCACCCATGCCAGCTCGGGGGCCACTGCTCCTGCTGCCAACGCCTGAGAGGGATGGCAGGAAGAGAGGCAGGGGGGTACACACATGTGCGTGAGGCACGGGGCAGCTGGGCTCTCATGCACCCATGCCAGCCAGCTCCGGTGCCCCTGCTCCTGCTGCTAGCGCCTGAGTGGGATGAGGGTGGCCGAGAGGCAGGGGGTACACACATGTGGGTGAGGCACAGGGCAGCTGGGCTCTCATGCACCCATGCGAGCCAGCTCCGGTGCCCCTGCTCCTGCTGCTAGCGCCTGAGTGGGATGAGGGTGGCCGAGAGGCAGGGGGTACACACATGTGTGTGAGGCACGGGGGCAGCCGTGCTCTCATGCACCCATGCCAGCCAGCTCCGGTGCCCCTGCTCCTGCTGCCAGCGCCTGGGAGGGATTGGATGCTAGGAGGCCCAGGGAGTGAACGCAGGCAGTAGCACAGAGCAGGGCAGACTTTAGAATGAGCAAGTCAATCGAAGAAAGGCCTTACATTAGGGGAAGGTTGGACTCACCACAGGGGAAGCTGGCATAGCGGGCATGGCAGAGGGCTTGGACGCAGGGAGCTAGGGCATGGGGAATGCCGATAGGCAGAAGTGAAAACTGACAGTCTTCCACTTCAGGATGGGGAAGTAGAACGAAGGAAAGGCGTTAATCTAGAGGGAATTCAGGCTTACCACGGAGGAAGCGGGCATCGCAGAGGGCTTGGAGGCGAGGAGCTCGAGAGAGTGAAGGCAGTAGTCGGAGAGATAGGCTGTTGAATCCTGTGCTACCACCACTGAGTTGGACGTGAGGTCCTGGTGGGTCATCTGGTGGTTAAGGGAGGGAGGACAGGGACAGACGGATGAGTCTTGTGGGATTAAAAGGCCAACAAGTGGACGGACATCAGATGTGACGTGATGTGAGAGGCTGCTGAGTCATCTGGTGGTGGGGTATTGCATGGTGGGTAGTGTTTTGAGCTGACTCAAAACACGACTCATTTTATGCGGATTTTGACTCGGCTTAAAAGGCCAACAAATGGACGGACATCAGGTGTGACGTGATGTGAGAGCCTGCCTGCTGAGTCATCTGGTGGTGGGGTATTGCATGGTGGGCAGTCAGGGGAAGGGAGAAGGAGAAAGGAGGAGACAGGATGCAAAACGAGGTGAAGCAGGTTCAGAGAGGTCTTAAGGGCTTTACCCGTTTTGAGACGTCTCAAATCTTAAGGGCTTTACCCGTTTTGAGACGTCTCAAATCTTAAGGGCTTTACCCGTTTTGAGACGTCTCAAATCTTAAGGGCTTTACCCGTGGGTTGAGGAACCTTAAGGGGCTTGAGAGCACAGAGGCTTTAAGGTTGCACACCTAAGGGCACTGAAGTGAGACGGGCTTTAAGGGCTCACATACCGGTTGAGGAAGTGCAGAAAGCACAGCCGCTCGGCCACATCCCTTGCATGCCTGCCCTTCACGTGCTACCATCACACATACAATCAACTGCGGGCTCGAGAAACAGGGGCTTTAAGGGCTCACCTGCGGGTTGAGGGAGTGCAGGAAGCGCAGCCCCTCTGCCACATCCCTTGCAATCGACACACGCATGTTCCACGGAAGCACCCGGTCCAGCGAGTCTGGTGGGGAAGTGGATTGGGGGTTGAAGGTGGGGAAAGAGAATGGAGATGGGTGGAGAGAGGGCATGGCATGGGGAAGCATGGACACACGCACGTTCCATGGCAGCAGCCGGTCCAACGAGTCTGATGGGGAAAGAGAATGGAGATGGGAGAGAGAGGGCATGGCATGGGGAAGCATGGACACACGCACGTTCCATGGCAGCAGCCGGTCCAACGAGTCTGATGGGGAAAGAGAATGGAGATGGGAGAGAGAGGGCATGGCATGGGGAAGCATGGACACACGCACGTTCCATGGCAGCAGCCGGTCCAACGAGTCTGATGGGGAAAGAGAATGGAGATGGGAGAGAGAGGGCATGGCATGGGGAAGCATGGACACACGCACGTTCCATGGCAGCAGCCGGTCCAACGAGTCTGATGGGGAAAGAGAATGGAGATGGGAGAGAGAGGGCATGGCATGGGGAAGCATGGACACACGCACGTTCCATGGCAGCAGCCGGTCCAACGAGTCTGATGGGGAAAGAGAATGGAGATGGGAGAGAGAGGGCATGGCATGGGGAAGCATGGACACACGCACGTTCCATGGCAGCAGCCGGTCCAACGAGTCTGATGGGGAAAGAGAATGGAGATGGGAGAGAGAGGGCATGGCATGGGGAAGCATGGACACACGCACGTTCCATGGCAGCAGCCGGTCCAACGAGTCTGATGGGGAAAGAGAATGGAGATGGGAGAGAGAGGGCATGGCATGGGGAAGCATGGACACACGCACGTTCCATGGCAGCAGCCGGTCCAACGAGTCTGATGGGGAAAGAGAATGGAGATGGGAGAGAGAGGGCATGGCATGGGGAAGCATGGACACACGCACGTTCCATGGCAGCAGCCGGTCCAACGAGTCTGATGGGGAAAGAGAATGGAGATGGGAGAGAGAGGGCATGGCATGGGGAAGCATGGACACACGCACGTTCCATGGCAGCAGCCGGTCCAACGAGTCTGATGGGGAAAGAGAATGGAGATGGGAGAGAGAGGGCATGGCATGGGGAAGCATGGACACACGCACGTTCCATGGCAGCAGCCGGTCCAACGAGTCTGATGGGGAAAGAGAATGGAGATGGGAGAGAGAGGGCATGGCATGGGGAAGCATGGACACACGCACGTTCCATGGCAGCAGCCGGTCCAACGAGTCTGATGGGGAAAGAGAATGGAGATGGGAGAGAGAGGGCATGGCATGGGGAAGCATGGACACACGCACGTTCCATGGCAGCAGCCGGTCCAACGAGTCTGATGGGGAAAGAGAATGGAGATGGGAGAGAGAGGGCATGGCATGGGGAAGCATGGACACACGCACGTTCCATGGCAGCAGCCGGTCCAACGAGTCTGATGGGGAAAGAGAATGGAGATGGGAGAGAGAGGGCATGGCATGGGGAAGCATGGACACACGCACGTTCCATGGCAGCAGCCGGTCCAACGAGTCTGATGGGGAAAGAGAATGGAGATGGGAGAGAGAGGGCATGGCATGGGGAAGCATGGACACACGCACGTTCCATGGCAGCAGCCGGTCCAACGAGTCTGATGGGGAAAGAGAATGGAGATGGGAGAGAGAGGGCATGGCATGGGGAAGCATGGACACACGCACGTTCCATGGCAGCAGCCGGTCCAACGAGTCTGATGGGGAAAGAGAATGGAGATGGGAGAGAGAGGGCATGGCATGGGGAAGCATGGACACACGCACGTTCCATGGCAGCAGCCGGTCCAACGAGTCTGATGGGGAAAGAGAATGGAGATGGGAGAGAGAGGGCATGGCATGGGGAAGCATGGACACACGCACGTTCCATGGCAGCAGCCGGTCCAACGAGTCTGATGGGGAAAGAGAATGGAGATGGGAGAGAGAGGGCATAGCGTTCAAGGGGTGGGGAGGGGGACCTGGAGGGAGAGGGCATGGTGATGGACTGGACACACGCTCATTCCACGGCAGCACCCGGTCGGTCCAACGAGTCTGGTGATTCTCTTGGGGAAGCATGGTGATAAGGAAAGAGATTAGAGATGAACAAAGGCAAGGGGATGGCACACGCAGAATCCACAGCAGCATTCGGTGCAGTGAGTCTCGTGGGGCAGAGTTCTATGGCAGAACTTTGCCCAGTTTCTCGGCTGTGTTGGGAGAGAATCTTTGGGAGTAACAAGAGTTGGCAGCGTTCGATAACAGTGCACTGACTGGTGTGTTTGTGGAAGGAGGCAAAGAAGCAAGGATTTCCCTGTAAGACACACAGGTAACTCCCCTTAACAGCACCATTTCTCACTGCGCAAGCAAGCCCAGGCACTCCTCAGCACCGCTACTCACCGTGGAGGTACGTCTCGAGCGTGGCAGCACCGGGCGGGAGGGAGTACACAATCATGCGGCTGCCTCTCAGGTAATCCGCACAGAACCCCAACACCTTGAGCAGCATGCTCCCATCCCCACTTCCCCCTCCCCCCTCGCCCCCTGCAGCCCCTCCCGCCTGCATGCGCGCAAACACGTCGAGTGCGGCAGCAAAGGTCTCTCGGGGCTCTGAGGAGAGCACGTCCACCTGAGCCACCGCTATGAAGCTGCGGTCTGGCAGCATGCCTCTGAGGGTGGTGAGACAATAAGGAAGAGGGGGAAGAGGGGGAAAGGGTAGCAAAGGTCTCTCGGGGCTCTGAGGAGAGCACGTCCACCTGAGCCACCGCTATGAAGCTGCGGTCTGGCAGCATGCCTCTGAGGGTGGTGAAACAATAAGGAAGAGGGGGAAGAGGGGGAAAGGGTAGCAAAGGTCTCTCGGGGGCTCTGAGGAGAGCACGTCCACCTGAGCCACCGCTATGAAGCTGCGGTCTGGTAGCATGCCCCTGTGGGAATGGGGTATGGGGCACGGGACAAGACAGGGGTAGAGGGAGTTGGTGGGACAGGGGACGGCATGGCATGTCACTCGGGGCTCTCGGGGGCTCTGAGGAGAGCACGTCCACCTGAGCCACTGCTATGAAGCTGCGATCCGGCAGGATGCCCCTGGGGGTGGTAGGACAGGGAGGGAGAAAAGCGGGAGGGGGGGTGCAGCGGGAATCTCAGATTAGAAAGGATTGGATTGGATTTGTTGCAGTTTCGGAGCTTCACAGAGAGGAGGAGAGTAGCTGGGCATATGACCTCGCATACCAGGATGTATTGAGCACGATGCATGCAATGTGTCGTGTTTGAGTCGACTAAAAACACCAGGATGTATCGAGCACGATGCATGCAATGTGCAGAGTAAAGAAGGATTCGAACCGCAGCAAGCCGTTGTGGTCTCCGTAAAACTTTCAGCTAAGTGTAGTGGGTGGGTTGCTTGGTAAGGCTAGGAAAAAGGCATAAACCAGGACTGGATAAGTCTCGAAGTAAAAGTAAAAGTAAAAGTAGAGGGCATTTTTGAGAATTCTAAAAAAAACCCTGCAGCTTCACAGAGAGTAGGAGAGTAGCTGGGCACATGACCTCGCATACCAGGATGTATTGAGCACGATGCATGCAATGTGCCTGTCCGTGAGCAGGCTGTCTCTATGACAAACGTGCCCTAGGCAAGCATGGTGTGACCATAACGAACGTGCCTGTAGGAGAGAAGGATGTGCTTCCACTGGGAGAAGAGGTTCCCTGGAGGAAAAGCTGCTCGTGGCTATTATGAGCGTGCCTGTAGGTAAGTAGTACTGTGTGCATACATATGACGAAAGTGCCTGTAGGTGAGGAACAAGCTGTGACCTGACCACAGCAAAAGAGCCTGTAGGTAAGCATGCTGTGACTATAACGAATGTAATGTGCCTGTAGGTGAGAAGGCTGTGCTCCCGCTGGGCGAAGAGGTTCTCCAGAGAAAAGTTGCCCGTGGCTATAACAGGGCCTGTAGGCTATAGGTAAGCAGGCTGTGACTATAACGAATGTAACGTGCCTGTAGGTGAGCAGGCTGTGACTATAACGAACGTGCCTGTATGTGAGCAGGCTGTGCTCCCTCTGGGCGAAAAGGTTCTCCGGGGCGAAGTTGCCTGTGGCGAGCTGCAGCTCCTCCAATGAGAATGGCTTGAGAGAGAGCGAGGCGCCCACAGCTGGAGGGGAGCACATAAACAAGGGACAGAGGGCAGGGCGTGTGCGTTTGTGAGTTTCAGAGAGGAGCCATGCAGTGGCGAGCTGCAGCTCCTCCAGTGAGAAGGGCTTGAGAGAGAGCGAGGCGCCCACAGCTGGGGGAGCATGAAAGGAGGGTGAGTGAGAGGGTACACAAGGGACAGAGGCAGAGCGGCCGTGCACGTTAGTGAGCTTCAGAGGGGCTTGTGACGAGTTGCCCGTGGTGAGCTTGGCCTGAGCGAGAGCTCGGTGCCTGCCCACAGCCGGGGGCGAATGGAGAGAAGAGACAGAAGGGATTGTGTTTTGAGTCGACTCAAAACACGACTTGGCCTGAGCGAGAGCTCGGTGACTGCCCACAGCCGGGGGGGGATGGAGAGAAGAGACAGAAGGGATTGTGTTTTGAGTCGACTCAAAACACGACTTGGCCTGAGCGAGAGCTCGGTGCCTGCCCGCAGCCGCGGGGGGATGGAGAGAAGAGACAGAAGGGATTGTGTTTTGAGTCGACTCTAAACACGTGTAATGAGCCGTGATTTGAGTCGACTCAAAACACGACTTGGCCTGAGCGAGAGCTCGGTGACAGCCCACAGCCGGGGGGGGATGGAGAGAAGAGACAGAAGAAGGGATTGCTTGCTCACGAGGTGGAGGTGAAAACAGAAAGGGAACTCGTTATTAGAGCGGTCGAACTTCAAGGCAAATGCCATGACAGCAGAGGGCGAGGGGGAGGAGGCGGCAGGGAGGAGGAAAAGAAGGAAAGGTGGAGAGGGAAAGCAAGAGAGATAGAGGGAAAGGAAGTGAGAGAGGGAGAGGAGAGGAAAGGCACACTCACTCATGGAACGACCAAATTTCATGGCGAAGGCCATAGCAGCAGAGGGCGAGGGGGAGGTGGCGGCAGCAAGGCCAGAGGAGCCTGCAGCAGCGGAGGCAGAGGAAGCCGGGTGCACCCCTGATGCAACGTTGTAGGCATCGTCAGGGTCCAGCGCCTGGGAGAAGGTGGCCGCGGCTGGCGGGACTGAGAGATGCTGGTAGGCTCTGTGGGGTGGGGTGCGGTGCGGTGTAGTTGGGTGGGTGGGATGGGGTAGAGAGAAAGGAGATGAGTCACAATGCCTGCTGAAGTTGTAGGCATCGTCAGGGTCCAGCACCTGGGAGAAGGTGGCCGCGGCTGGCGGGACTGAGAGATGCTGGTAGGCTCTGCAGAGGGCAGGGAAGGGGAGAAGAATGGGGGGAGCAGGGATAGAGAGGGGTGGTGGCAGTAAGGCTAAAGGCAGCAGCAACAGTAGCAGCAGAAGCAGAGGAAGCGAGGTGCACCCCTGATGCAACGTTGTAGGCATCGTCGGGGTCCAGCGCTTGAGAGAAGGTGGTGGCAGTACTTGCAGGGACGGACAGGTGCTGGTAGGCTCTGAGGGGTGGAGTGCGGTGGGGTTGGGTGGAGAGCGAGGAAATGGGGACAGGAACGGGGAAAGGAAAGGGGGAACGATGTGATTCATGTGCATCGCTGGAGTCCAGCGCCTGGGAGAAGGTGGCCGTGGCTGGCGGGACTGAGAGATGCTGATAGGCCCTGTGCGGTGGGATGGGGTGCGGTGCGGTGGGGTGGGGTGTGGGGCGGGATGGGGTGGAGTGGGGTTGAGTGGGGTGGGGTGGGGTGCGGTGCAGAAGAAGAGGAGTGCTGTGACTCATGGGCATCGTCAGGGTCCTGCTCCTGGGAGAAGGTGGTGACAGTATTTGCAGGGACGGATAGGTGCTGGTAGGCCCTGTGCGGTGGGGTGGGGTAGGGAGGGATGGGGATAGGAAAGGAGAAGGAGAGGGGAAAGGGGAACGATGTGACCCTGTGCATCCGTGGGGTCTAAGTAGCGGCCTTTGTTGCAGGGCAAGGAGGGAACTGGGACGCACAGCACAGGCAGCAGGGACTGAGTGACAGATGCTGATACACTCTGTGGGTTGGGAAAAGGGAAAAGGTGCAGCGAAGGGGAATGGGCCTTGGATGCAATGCAGGGCAAGGACGGACGAGGGAGGCACAGGCAGCAGGGACTGACTGAATAACAGGTGCTGACTCAGGATTCACCTGGAACTCCCTATCACTCCCAACCGCACTCCACCCCACTCCACCCACCAGGACTTGTTGGACGCACTAAAGCCCCAGCCCGTCTGCCCGGTGCGCTTGTTGTGGGCGCGGTTGTGGATGCACCAGATGCAGGAGATGACAGGTGCTGACACAGGATTCAACTAGCAATCCCCACCACTCCCAACCGCACTCCACCCACCTGGACTTGCTGGACGCACTGAAGCCCCAGCCCGTCTGGCCGGTGCGCTTGTTGTGGGCGCGGTTGCGGATGCACCAGATGCAGGAGATGACAGGTGCTGACTCAGGATTCACCTAGAAATACCTTCTACTTCCAATCGCACCCAACCGCAATCCACCCGGCCCCACCCACCTGGACTTGCTGGATGCACTAAGGCCCCAGCCCGTCTGTCCGGTGCACTTGTTGTGGGCGCGGTTGCGGATGCACCAGATGCAGGAGATGACAGGCGCTGACTCAGGATTCACCTAGCAATCCCCACCACTCCCAACCGCACTCCACCCACCTGGACTTGCTGGACGCACTGAAGCCCCAGCCCGTCTGTCCGGTGCACTTGTTGTGGGCGCGGTTGCGGATGCACCAGATGCAGGAGATGACAGGTGCTGACTCAGGATTCACCTAGCAATCCCCACCACTCCCAACCGCACTCCACCTTAGTTGCGGAAGACGCTCGACGCGTCTTGCGTCTAGCGTCTTAGACGCAAGACGCTTGGGCGATTTTTTTTCGGGCAGCCCAAATAAAAAATCGCGCGCGCGAAATTGAAATTCGCCATTTCGACGCGAAATTCAATTTCGCGCCATTAGAACCCCTTCCCACCCATTTCGACCACAAAAACAAGCCCCCCAAGCAAATTTGAATCCCCCCCAACCAAAATTGAACACAAACCACACTTCACCGCTTGGTATCTAGAAAACCCAACCTCTATGGCTAACCACCAAGAGGTTGGGGAGCACAAATCTCTCATTTGTGCTCCCCTACCTTCATTTCTTCCAAATCTCTTTCGAAAACCCTTAGGGTTTAGCTACTTCCACGGCGCAACCATGTCTTCTAGTAGCCATTGTGACATAGGTGCATGTCCCCCACCCTCCCCATGCCCCATAGAACTTTTTTTGGTCTGCCCGAACATTTTTTTTAGGCCTGCCCGGGTTTTCGTCTAATACTGCGTCTAATCTACACTGTCTAGCGTCTAGCGTCTTAGACGCTGCGTCTAGACGGACGCGTCTAAGACGCTAGACGCGTCTTCCGCAACTAAGCACTCCACCCACCTGGACTTGCTGGACGCACTAAAGCCCCAGCCCGTCTGGCCGGTGCGCTTGTTGTGGGCGCGGTTGCGGATGCACCAGATGCAGGAAATTATAAGCGTTGTGAACATGATGGCTGCCAGCAGCGAGAGAGCCACGATCCACGCGGGCGACAGGTCGTCGTCTCCCTGCGCGTCAAAGTGCTCTGCGGAAATAGCAGGGTGTGTGGAGAGCGGGAGGAAGTGTGTGGAGAGCGGGAGGAAGTGTGTGCGAGTGTGAGTGAGGGAAAGAGAGTGGAGAAAGGGGGGATTGATGAGGTGCCTTGTTGGGAGTAGATTGTCAGGTCCTGACTGCTTTGCTTGTTGTGGGCGTGGTTGCGGATGCACCAGATGCAGGAGATGAGAAGCGGTGTGAGCATGATGGCTGCGAGCAGCAAGAGAGCCACGATCCACGCGGGCGACAGGTCATCGTCTCCCTGCGCGTCAAAGTGCTCTGGGGAGACAGAAGGGTGAGGAAGAGAGAGGGAGATAGAGGCGAGGAGACCAAGCAGGGGTGAGGGGGGGAGAGAGAGAGAGCCATGATCCACGTGGGCGACAGGTCGTCGTCTCCCTGCGCGTCAAAGTGCTTTGGGGAGATGGAAAGTGGGGTAAGAAGGGGACAGAGATGAAACGAGGAGGCTAGGGACGAAGGGGGGCACGAGCCATGATCCATGCGGGTGACAGGTCGTCGTCTCCCTGCTGCACCTGTCCCATGCACACATCCATCCATACTGCCCTGCACCAAGCTTTACCCCGAGACACTCATGCTCGCGGCACTGGCATGGAGCATATCCCTCTCCAGGCATGCACACGCTCTCCCCCGACCATCCGTTATCGCAGTGGCACAGCTGCACCTGCCCCAGCTGCACCTGTCTGCCCTACATCCACACACCCACACCAAGACACCCACTCACGTTCACGGCACTGGCACGGGGCGTATCCCTCTCCAGGCATGCACACGCTCTCCCCTGGCCATCCGTTGTCGCAGTGGCACAGCTGCACCTGCCCCACTGCACACGGCTTGCGCACGATACTGTTCACGGGCGGCAGGGGCGGCGGGTCCATTGGCACTGGGCGGCACCGCCCGTCGTTTGTGAACATGACGCAAAGCTGCGGGTTGTTCTTGAAGCTGGGTATGGGTAGGATGGGGGCAATGTGAGGTGTGGGTGAAAAGGAAGGGGGAAACGTTGGGAGAAACTAACTCACAAAAATAAAACAAAAAACATAATGATGCCCCATGATAAATCACATGTTGGTTACCGTGCGCAGGTATGTAGAACTGACTGGCTCTACTCCATGCGCAGGTAGGTGAGCTGATGTTTGAGTTGACCCAGAATTCAAATGTACTGGAAGCCTCTTTAAATTCGAGGCCCAGTGTGCATAGAGCTGGTTGTACGTACTGCATGTGCAGGGAGGTGAGATGATATCCGAGTCGACTCAAGAGTCAAATGCACTGGAAGGAAAGCCACACTCACGCATTGAGGTGTTCCTTGAACTCGAGGCCCAGCGCCCCGTAGAGCTGGTTGTACTGCATGCGCAGGAAGGTGAGCTGATCCCTGAGTCGACTCAAGACTCAAGGGCACTAGAAACCCCCCTTACGTACGCGTTGAGGTGCTCCTTGAACTCGAGTCTCAGCGCGCCGTAGAGCTGGATGTCCTGCATGCGCAGGTAGGTGAGCTGATCCGGGTTCTTCAGTTGACTCGAGATTCTACTTTTAAGGCACTGGCAGCAGCAACACTCACGCGTTGAGATGCTCCTTGATTTCAAGTCCAAGAGCGCCATAGAACTGGTTGGACTGCATGCGCAGGTAAGTGAGCTCATCCTGATTCCTGCGTTGACTCGAGATTCTAACTTCTAAGGCACTGGCAGCAGCAATACTCACGCATTGAGGTGCTCCTTGAACTCGAGTCCCAGGGCGCCATAGAGCTGGTTGTACTGCATGCGCAGGTACGTGAGCTTGGGCAGCGAGGCTATCGCAGACGGCACCTTGCCCGTGAGGTTGTTGTGATCCAGCATGCTGGGGGGGAAAAAGGGGAAGAGGCACAAGCACTGTTATAAGAGAGGATATTGCAGGTGGCATGTTGCCCGTGCGATTGTCGTGATCCAATATGCTGGTGGGAGAGGGAGGGGTGAGTGGGGAGAGGGAGACGGGTGTAGCGAGGGGAGAGGAAAGGGCGGAAGAGGGAGGGGGGAGTGGGGGAGGAAAGAGGAAGAGGGGGGGGGGAGAGGAGGTTGGGGTTAGTAAAATCTATTTTTGAGTCGACTCAAAAAAAGGAGGTTGGGGTTAGTAAAATCTATTTTTGAGTCGACTCAAAAAAAGGAGGTTGGGGTTAGTAAAATCTAACATGATGTTGCTCTCTTGAGGCGACTCAAAACCAGTAAGGCAAACTAAGCGAAAAAGAAAACAAGCAAACAGAGACTCACAGAGTGGTCAGGGCGGAGCATGCTCCAATCCCTTGCGGCACCGTGTCGTTGAGATGGTTGAAACTCAGCGACCTGAAAGGGAGAAGGAGGCAGGGGTGCCACGAGGAAAGAAGGGATAGTCAGGGCGGAGCATGCTCCAATCCCTTGCGGCGTGTCGTTGAGATGGTTGAAACTCAGCGACCTGAGACGAGTGGAGGGCGGAGAGAACAGGAGGGGTGGGAAGTGTAGGAGGGATGCAGGAGGGGGAAGGGGAGAGGGAGGGGTGGGGGAGTGGGGCGGACGGGTGTAGTGAGGTAAATTGGGATGATCAGGGCCGAGCATGATCAGGGCCGAGCATGATCCGATCCCTCCTGCATGGTGTCGTTGAGATGGTTGGAACTTCACGAACTGAGATGAGCCGAGGGGAGGGATGGAAGGGATGTGAGTGAGGAAAGGGAGGGAGGTCAAGGAGGGAAGGGAGGCAAACGACGGGAGTGATGGGAGTGGTGGGCGTGGTGGGAGTGATGGACAGAGCGTAAACAGGTGGAATGGTTCTTGCATTGCCAGCCAACCAACCAAGTAGTCCGCCATAGCAGTGGACTCACAGGTGCTGCAAGTGCGTGAGCGCACCCACAGGTGCTGCATGAGCTTCCAGCCAATTGATTCGCTGTGGCACTGGCAGTGGCACTCACAGGTGCTGCAGGTTGGTGAGCTGCGTGATGGAGTCGGGAATCGACCCCTCCAAGCTGTTCTCCTCCAGCGATCTGACATGGGCGTCAGTCAAGGGGAAAGGAGGATGTAGTAGGGCAATGGGGAGATGTTTGAAGAGGAAAGAGCAGAGTTATTGCAGGTTGGTGAGCTGCGTGATGGAGTCGGGAATCAACCCCTCCAAGCTGCTCTCCTCCAGCGATCTGACATGGGCGTCGGTCAATGGGAAAGGAGGATGTAGTAGGGCAATGGGGATATGTTTGAAGAGGAAAGAGCAGAGTTATTGCAGGTTGGTGAGCTGCGTGATGGAGTCGGGAATCAACCCCTCCAAGCTGCTCTCCTCCAGCGCCCTGACATGGGAGAGAAGGTCAAGGGTAATAGGGAGACGTGCAAGGGGGAAAGGGGAAGATGTGTGTTTTTTATATGCCTGAACCTCCGCTCCCTCCACACTGCTCTCCTCCAGCGCCCTGACATGGGAGAGAAGGTCAAGGGTAATAGGGAGACGTGCAAGGGGGAAAGGGGAAGATGTGTGTTTTTTATATGCCTGAACCTCCGCTCCCTCCACACTGCTCTCCTCCAGTGCTCTGACATGGGAGAGAAGGTCAAGGGTAATAGGGAGACGTGCAAGGGGGAAAGGGGAAGATGTGTGTTTTTTATATGCCTGAACCTCCGCTCCCTCCACACTGCTCTCCTCCAGCGCCCTGACATGGGAGAGAAGGTCAAGGGTAATAGGGAGACGTGCAAGGGGGAAAGGGGAAGATGTGTGTTTTTTATATGCCTGAACCTCCGCTCCCTCCACACTGCTCTCCTCCAGTGCTCTGACATGGGAGAGAAGGTCAAGGGTAATAGGGAGACGTGCAAGGGGGAAAGGGGAAGATGTGTGTTTTTTATATGCCTGAACCTCCGCTCCCTCCACACTGCTCTCCTCCAGTGCTCTGACATGGGAGAGAAGGTCAAGGGTAATAGGGAGACGTGCAAGGGGGAAAGGGGAAGATGTGTGTTTTTTATATGCCTGAACCTCCGCTCCCTCCACACTGCTCTCCTCCAGCGCCCTGACATGGGAGAGAAGGTCAAGGGTAATAGGGAGACGTGCAAGGGGGAAAGGGGAAGATGTGTGTTTTTTATATGCCTGAACCTCCGCTCCCTCCACACTGCTCTCCTCCAGTGCTCTGACATGGGAGAGAAGGTCAAGGGTAATAGGGAGACGTGCAAGGGGGAAAGGGGAAGATGTGTGTTTTTTATATGCCTGAACCTCCGCTCCCTCCACACTGCTCTCCTCCAGTGCTCTGACATGGGAGAGAAGGTCAAGGGTAATAGGGAGACGTGCAAGGGGGAAAGGGGAAGATGTGTGTTTTTTATATGCCTGAACCTCCGCTCCCTCCACACTGCTCTCCTCCAGTGCTCTGACATGGGAGAGAAGGTCAAGGGTAATAGGGAGACGTGCAAGGGGGAAAGGGGAAGATGTGTGTTTTTTATATGCCTGAACCTCCGCTCCCTCCACACTGCTCTCCTCCAGTGCTCTGACATGGGAGAGAAGGTCAAGGGTAATAGGGAGACGTGCAAGGGGGAAAGGGGAAGATGTGTGTTTTTTATATGCCTGAACCTCCGCTCCCTCCACACTGCTCTCCTCCAGTGCTCTGACATGGGAGAGAAGGTCAAGGGTAATAGGGAGACGTGCAAGGGGGAAAGGGGAAGATGTGTGTTTTTTATATGCCTGAACCTCCGCTCCCTCCACACTGCTCTCCTCCAGTGCTCTGACATGGGAGAGAAGGTCAAGGGTAATAGGGAGACGTGCAAGGGGGAAAGGGGAAGATGTGTGTTTTTTATATGCCTGAACCTCCGCTCCCTCCACACTGCTCTCCTCCAGTGCTCTGACATGGGAGAGAAGGTCAAGGGTAATAGGGAGACGTGCAAGGGGGAAAGGGGAAGATGTGTGTTTTTTATATGCCTGAACCTCCGCTCCCTCCACACTGCTCTCCTCCAGTGCTCTGACATGGGAGAGAAGGTCAAGGGTAATAGGGAGACGTGCAAGGGGGAAAGGGGAAGATGTGTGTTTTTTATATGCCTGAACCTCCGCTCCCTCCACACTGCTCTCCTCCAGTGCTCTGACATGGGAGAGAAGGTCAAGGGTAATAGGGAGACGTGCAAGGGGGAAAGGGGAAGATGTGTGTTTTTTATATGCCTGAACCTCCGCTCCCTCCACACTGCTCTCCTCCAGTGCTCTGACATGGGAGAGAAGGTCAAGGGTAATAGGGAGACGTGCAAGGGGGAAAGGGGAAGATGTGTGTTTTTTATATGCCTGAACCTCCGCTCCCTCCACACTGCTCTCCTCCAGTGCTCTGACATGGGAGAGAAGGTCAAGGGTAATAGGGAGACGTGCAAGGGGGAAAGGGGAAGATGTGTGTTTTTTATATGCCTGAACCTCCGCTCCCTCCACACTGCTCTCCTCCAGTGCTCTGACATGGGAGAGAAGGTCAAGGGTAATAGGGAGACGTGCAAGGGGGAAAGGGGAAGATGTGTGTTTTTTAAATGCCTGAACCTCCGCTCCCTCCACACTGCTCTCCTCCAGTGCTCTGACATGGGAGAGAAGGTCAAGGGTAATAGGGAGACGTGCAAGGGGGAAAGGGGAAGATGTGTGTTTTTTATATGCCTGAACCTCCGCTCCCTCCACACTGCTCTCCTCCAGTGCTCTGACATGGGAGAGAAGGTCAAGGGTAATAGGGAGACGTGCAAGGGGGAAAGGGGAAGATGTGTGTTTTTTATATGCCTGAACCTCCGCTCCCTCCACACTGCTCTCCTCCAGTGCTCTGACATGGGAGAGAAGGTCAAGGGTAATAGGGAGACGTGCAAGGGGGAAAGGGGAAGATGTGTGTTTTTTATATGCCTGAACCTCCGCTCCCTCCACACTGCTCTCCTCCAGTGCTCTGACATGGGAGAGAAGGTCAAGGGTAATAGGGAGACGTGCAAGGGGGAAAGGGGAAGATGTGTGTTTTTTATATGCCTGAACCTCCGCTCCCTCCACACTGCTCTCCTCCAGTGCTCTGACATGGGAGAGAAGGTCAAGGGTAATAGGGAGACGTGCAAGGGGGAAAGGGGAAGATGTGTGTTTTTTATATGCCTGAACCTCCGCTCCCTCCACACTGCTCTCCTCCAGTGCTCTGACATGGGAGAGAAGGTCAAGGGTAATAGGGAGACGTGCAAGGGGGAAAGGGGAAGATGTGTGTTTTTTATATGCCTGAACCTCCGCTCCCTCCACACTGCTCTCATCCAGCGCCCTGACATGGGAGAGAAGGTCAAGGGTAATAGGGAGACGTGCAAGGGGGAAAGGGGAAGATGTGTGTTTTTTATATGCCTGAACCTCCGCTCCCTCCACACTGCTCTCCTCCAGTGCTCTGACATGGGAGAGAAGGTCAAGGGTAATAGGGAGACGTGCAAGGGGGAAAGGGGAAGATGTGTGTTTTTTATATGCCTGAACCTCCGCTCCCTCCACACTGCTCTCCTCCAGTGCTCTGACATGGGAGAGAAGGTCAAGGGTAATAGGGAGACGTGCAAGGGGGAAAGGGGAAGATGTGTGTTTTTTATATGCCTGAACCTCCGCTCCCTCCACACTGCTCTCCTCCAGTGCTCTGACATGGGAGAGAAGGTCAAGGGTAATAGGGAGACGTGCAAGGGGGAAAGGGGAAGATGTGTGTTTTTTATATGCCTGAACCTCCGCTCCCTCCACACTGCTCTCCTCCAGTGCTCTGACATGGGAGAGAAGGTCAAGGGTAATAGGGAGACGTGCAAGGGGGAAAGGGGAAGATGTGTGTTTTTTATATGCCTGAACCTCCGCTCCCTCCACACTGCTCTCCTCCAGTGCTCTGACATGGGAGAGAAGGTCAAGGGTAATAGGGAGACGTGCAAGGGGGAAAGGGGAAGATGTGTGTTTTTTATATGCCTGAACCTCCGCTCCCTCCACACTGCTCTCCTCCAGTGCTCTGACATGGGAGAGAAGGTCAAGGGTAATAGGGAGACGTGCAAGGGGGAAAGGGGAAGATGTGTGTTTTTTATATGCCTGAACCTCCGCTCCCTCCACACTGCTCTCCTCCAGTGCTCTGACATGGGAGAGAAGGTCAAGGGTAATAGGGAGACGTGCAAGGGGGAAAGGGGAAGATGTGTGTTTTTTATATGCCTGAACCTCCGCTCCCTCCACACTGCTCTCCTCCAGTGCTCTGACATGGGAGAGAAGGTCAAGGGTAATAGGGAGACGTGCAAGGGGGAAAGGGGAAGATGTGTGTTTTTTATATGCCTGAACCTCCGCTCCCTCCACACTGCTCTCCTCCAGTGCTCTGACATGGGAGAGAAGGTCAAGGGTAATAGGGAGACGTGCAAGGGGGAAAGGGGAAGATGTGTGTTTTTTATATGCCTGAACCTCCGCTCCCTCCACACTGCTCTCCTCCAGTGCTCTGACATGGGAGAGAAGGTCAAGGGTAATAGGGAGACGTGCAAGGGGGAAAGGGGAAGATGTGTGTTTTTTATATGCCTGAACCTCCGCTCCCTCCACACTGCTCTCCTCCAGTGCTCTGACATGGGAGAGAAGGTCAAGGGTAATAGGGAGACGTGCAAGGGGGAAAGGGGAAGATGTGTGTTTTTTATATGCCTGAACCTCCGCTCCCTCCACACTGCTCTCCTCCAGTGCTCTGACATGGGAGAGAAGGTCAAGGGTAATAGGGAGACGTGCAAGGGGGAAAGGGGAAGATGTGTGTTTTTTATATGCCTGAACCTCCGCTCCCTCCACACTGCTCTCCTCCAGTGCTCTGACATGGGAGAGAAGGTCAAGGGTAATAGGGAGACGTGCAAGGGGGAAAGGGGAAGATGTGTGTTTTTTATATGCCTGAACCTCCGCTCCCTCCACACTGCTCTCCTCCAGTGCTCTGACATGGGAGAGAAGGTCAAGGGTAATAGGGAGACGTGCAAGGGGGAAAGGGGAAGATGTGTGTTTTTTATATGCCTGAACCTCCGCTCCCTCCACACTGCTCTCCTCCAGTGCTCTGACATGGGAGAGAAGGTCAAGGGT